TTGAACCCATATCAATTGAATGTGTTTGGATAGAAATAAGTGAACCTACCTGTAACCTTTTTCTTTGCTGCGTATATCGTCCACCCAACAGCGAAAAATCCTTCTGGGACAAATTTTTGTGGTCAATTGAAAAAGTATCGGATATTTCCAGCAAATTTATAATTGTAGGAGATTTAAATGTTGATTTTCTGGACAATTCTCGGATACTTCCTATTAAAGGTATCATGCTGAATCATAACCTGACAAACACAATCCACGAAGCAACACGAATTACCAACACTTCGAACACACTTATTGACCCAGTTTTGATCAGCCCAGACCTTGTAGCACTCCACTCAGGCGTGATAGACACAGACAATACACTAACCGATCACAAAGCGACATACGTCTTCTTAAAATCAAGTATCATTAAAAGTCAATCTTATGTAAGGAAAATATGGGATTATAAAATGCTAATATGGAAAAACTTAATACTTTAATCGAAACTACTGACTGGAAAAATCTTATCTGTAATGCTGAATCAATTGACGAAGCTACCGAAAAGTTTACAACCAAATATATAGATCTCGTAAGGGAATGTGTACCTGAAAAATCAGTTATTATAAGACCTAAAGACAAACCTTGGTTTGACTCATTATTAAGGAAAACCCATCGAGAAAAAAATAGATTAAGACGAAAAGCACAAAAAAGTAATAAACAGCTCGATTGGGATAATTTTAAGCGTATCAGAAACAAGTTTAACAACATGAAAAAACATGCTATTGAAAATTATCAAAATACTCTCGAGTTACAACTCGTTGATTCCAGTAAAAACAATCCTAAACTTTATTGGAAACTTCTTAAAGATACTTTTAAAACTAAATCAACTACAGATATTCCTCCTTTACAATACACATCTGCATCTGGTGATGTCAATTTTGCTTTTTCTGATGTAGATAAGATAACAGTACTTAACAATTATTTTGCTTCAGTTACCCGTGTTGATGATGATAAGTCTGATTTACCTAAAGAAATTACTAAGTGTGATAGTGTTTTTGACAATATTTCTATTTGTGAACAAGAAGTGTTTGATATTTTATCTATATTACCTGTTAACAAAGCCATTGGAGAAGACTGTATTAGTCATAAAATGTTAAAATCAACAAAACTTACTGTTGTCAAACCTCTATGTTTACTGTTTAATCGCTCATTGAAAGACTGTGTTTTTCCTCAAAAATGGAAATTAGCTAATGTTATTCCTCTCTTTAAAAAAGACGATCCAGCTGTTTTGTCAAACTATAGACCTATTTCATTGTTAAGTTGTGTTGGTAAAGTCATGGAACGTATTGTATTTAAACACTTGTATAACTACTTTCATTGTAATAATATTTTTTACAAATACCAGGCTGGTTTCTTGCCTGGTCATTCTCCGTTTTATCAATTGTTAGAAACATACGATAATATTGTTAGAAATATTGATGATGGTAAATCCAGTTGTATGATTTTTTGTGACTTATCTAAGGCCTTTGACCGTGTCTGGCACAAAGGGCTCTTGTTTAAGCTAAACATGTATGGCATAGAGAGTAATATGTACTTTTGGTTAAAAAGTTATTTAGAAAATAGAACACAAAGAGTTATTTACAAAAATTTGGTATCCCCTTCGGCTTCCTTATATGCCGGCGTTCCACAAGGATCTGTATTAGGTCCATTATTATTTTTAATTTATGTAAATGATGTATCTGACAAGATGTCAAGCTTTTGTAGATTATTCGCTGATGATAACAGTTTGCAGTACGCATCTAAATGTGTTAAATCTATAGAAAGTAATCTGAATAATGATCTTTTATCTCTTGAAGAGTGGTCAAACAAATGGTTACTAAAATTTAATCCATCCAAAACTAAGGTTGTATTTTTTAGCACAAGAAAAAACATAGAACCTCCCAAACTCCTATTCCAAGATAGCCAATTAGAATATGTTCAAACTCATAAACATTTAGGGGTAACTTTTTCATATAACTTAAGTTGGTCAACTCACATTGAAATCTTACTGTCTAATGCATACAAAAAAATTGGTCTATTAAAAAAACTTAAATTTAAAATAAATCGAAAGACTCTTTCACTCATGTATACTTCATTTATCCGCCCTCAGCTCGAATACGCTTCAGTTGTATGGGGTGGTTGTCTAGCTATCGACTCTGAAAAATTAGAGAAATTGCAACTACACGCAGCACGGATTGTTACTGGCTTGACCTTAATTGCATCTAGAGACTCTTTGTACTTTGAAACAGGCTGGGAACCGCTCATTGATAGACGCAAGATTCAGAGATTGAATACCATGTATAAAATTCATAATAATTTAGTTCCTGATTATCTACGTGAAATTATACCTGAAATGCGATGTAATGCTTCCGCGTATACAACAAGAAACTCTCAAAATTATAATATACCCGTCTGTAGACTGCAAACATACAAATCATCATTTGTACCAACTGTAGTAAACGAGTGGAATTCTTTATCGCTAGACACCAGACTCTCGAGCTCCTTATCTGCTTTTAAAAGTAAAATCACACACAAAAAAACAATAGCCCCGCCTTATTTCAGTTTTGGAAAAAGACGCTACAATATACTGCACACTAGACTCCGACACAATTGTGTGCTAAACATTGATCTTTATAGGTGTAACATAATATCTAGTCCATTATGCTCTTGTGGTAAGGTAGAAGACACACATCATTATTTTTTCTCATGTCCTAATTACACTGAGGCCAGGAAAGATTTCTTCGATAAGTTTTTGAGATTTAATAAAGTTCATATTGTTGACACTCATACTTTACTCTGGGGGGATACCTCACTCAGTATTGCTGAAAATGAATATCTCTTCTCTATTGTTCAATCTTATATTCAGCATTCAGGCAGATTTAATTGATTTTTCTAAAAATGTGTATAGATAATAATTTAGCAGTAAATGTTTCTATGTTGTGAGTTAATTTACTTTGTACATGCTGTTGGACACGTCTGATTGAATTTTTGTGATATAACATGTAGGGAGAGGGCGAATTAAGTTTTTAGAACTTGTGCCCAATCCCATTGTATATATTTATTGCAATAAAATATGTTCAAATCAAAACATCCTCAGGTATCGAAGATTCAAATATGTTGAAATCATGACACCCCCTCCCCCTCCAAGGTGTAGAGAGGGGTCATATCAGGGGATCAAATTTATACGTGGGAATATAAAGGATATATTAATAAAAACTTTCTTCTCAAGAACAGCAAAGCCATAATTAATCATATGATTCAGAAGCCCCAGGGACAGGGCAAGGCCACAATAGAAAATCAAACGTTCTTGAAAAAAAATCTTTAAAAATCTTCTAAAGCCATGATTAGTTAAAGAAATATGGAAGCATCCTCAGGTAGTGTAGATTTAAGATTGTTCAAATCGGGGGGGGGGGGGGGGATCACTTTTATATTTAAACATTTCAATACTTAGCTGATTTCTGCTTTCTCCCAGCCAAAGTGCTCAGGTGAGTGATTTGGCCCATGGACCTCTTGTTTTTTAATCTAATAATATTTATTCAACTTTCATTTATTAACAAATTGATACAATATCTATTTTCAAAGCTTTAGATACTAGTTCAGGGATGGTTCTCTTTGTTTCGTGTAGTTGTGGATTTGAGATCTTATCTCCAAAGGCATTTGAGATGCAATGCATCCAGCCTTTCGTCATCCTACTTAGTGGTTTGGTTCGCTAGAGCTCGAAACAGTACATCAGTACAGATATAACATTTGTATTGAAGATTTTGTTTGGTTTTTGTATCCCACTGTGCTGATTTCCATATTTGGTTCAAGATGAAAAAGCACTTCTGGTTAAGCCTAGCATTCTCCTTATGTCTGATTACGTTCCCTCTGTCTTGTCTATTGAGCTGCCCATGTAAAGGAAGGTTTCAAAGTCTTCAACTCCTTTGCTATTTAGACTAAATACATCATTCTTTTAAAATCCACATTGACCTTCAAACCTTTTGTCTTACCCACATTCATTTTTAATCCTGTATATTTTGATACGTCATTTAGATATGCTGGTATTTTCTGGCATGTCACTGACTTTGCTAGCTGCAGATCTGTAGCTCGCTGGTCTAAAAAGAATTGGGATGAACGACCACAGATCTACTGTACCACCCATTGAAAACAGTATATTTATTGAGCACAAAAAGTGTACTGTTTCTCGATTTATATCTCCATATATTTAAACTACCATCTCAAAGTATTACTAACCGTGTGTTGTTAACAAACTCTTTTATTATTTCCACAACAAAATATTTCCCATAATCGTTTTAAATTACCCTACTGGGCCTGGAATTGAGACCATTGAAAATTTCATTTATTTAACTGCCATTTTAAGTGGCAAGACCATTCGGTCCAACACGCTTCGAGCAGATGCCAACTACGAGAGTATTTGATAGAGGTCTTTTGTGCAGTTGAAGTAAGAATATAGAGAAATAAAGTGCAAGTTTTCTTCATATTTCATTTTTTTAATAAATATTCGAATTCTTATTGACATTACATTTTTTACTGAATTATACATGGGTGGGCTAATTTTTAAGTTAACATGAATCTTAATCCCTGTTTTGTTCAACTGTACAGTGAATCTCATTAAATAATACAAAACTTACACAGCATTCATAATGTTCATCCCTTGCAATTTTCCACATTTTGGGGGCAATTTTTATGACATCCATTATCATCAAAAAGCAGCCATGCTTATACAACAATTTTAACTATATCACTAGTAGTGCATTCTTTCTCAAATTCACTTGATATGTGTGGACAAACCGCTAATATCAGCATGGTGAAATAATGAAGCACAAGTCATTTCAAAGCGTTAGGGGTTAGATGCAGAAGAAACAAAAAAAACTGATGAACAGGTCAGATGATTCACAATTGTCTACACTGCCAGGGACTTATTGAATTCATTTGATAATATTTGTAATGCAGATTGAAAAAATAATAATAATACATGTATATACATTTAATGGTTTTATTTGTGATTCTGGCATGATGTATACATGTACGACTCTGTTATTATAATAAACACAAAAGAAGGAGGGAAAAAACATTTCTTTGATTTACTGTTTGGGCAAAATTCTGAACACAGTTTACGATTCTGATTTTGTAATTATAAAAATAATAATCATCATACATGTACATGTATCTACATGTAAAATTTTGAATGTTTTTTAATCTCAAATGACTCTCAAATGTCATTTGAGAGACAACAATGTCTCTGGTTATTTGTATCCATGTAAGATTTTTCAAAGAAATGCATGTATGAGAAGTTTCTCATGTATGAAAAGTTTCTCATAACAATTAGTTAACATGAAAGGAATCTCATTTTCACAGAATACTAGACTAAGCGTCCTTCATTTGACAGTCAAATATGTCCCGAAGTAGCTGCATACTCTCTCCATATCTCATTTCATTGATCCTGCCTTGATCTATCCAACTGAAAAATAAGAACTCTGTCATTCATATTTGGCATTTTCAATTATCCAATAGAAGCATTCTAAACAAGAGACCCTGGGGCCACATCACTCACCTGAGCACTTTGGCTAGGGGAAAAGCAGAAATCAGTTCAGTCTTGAAAAGTTTAAACATAAAAGTGGTTTGGGGGGGGGGGGGTGATTTGAACTAACTTTAATCTACACTTCCTAAGGATGCTTTTGAATTAATATGACTCAAGAAGAAAATATTTATTGATATATATCCTTTATATTCCTTTGTATAACTATGATCCCCTGTTATGGCCCCTCTATTCTCCTGAGGGGTCATGATTTGAACAAATTTGAATCTACATTACCTGAAGATGCTTTAATATTATCATGACCAATCATGGCTTTGCTGTTCTTGAGAAGAACTTTAAAGCTTTTTCCTATGTATTCCTATGTTAGACTTTGATCCCCCCACTGTGGCCCCACCCTACCCCCAGGGGTCATGATTTGAATAAACCTGAATCCACAACCCCTGACGATGCTTCCATTTAAATATGACTAATCATGGCTTTGCTGTTCTTGAGAAGAAGATTTTTAAAGATTTTTCCCTATGTATTCCTACTGTATATAAAACTTTGATTGCCCATTGTGGCCCAACCGTACCCCCCCCCTCCCCCCCCCCCCCCCCCCCCGGTGTTATGATTGAACAAATTTGAATCTACATAACCTTAGGATGCTTGCATATAAATATGACCAATTGTGGCTTTGCTGCTTTTGAGAAGATTTTTAAAGAATTTTCCTGTGTACATGATGTATTCCGATGTAAAACTTTGATCACCCATTGTGGCCCAACCCTACCCCCAGGGGTCATGATTTGAACAAACTTGAATCTACACTAACTGAGGATGCTTGCATATAGATATTACCAATCATGGCTTTGCTGTTCTTGAGTAGAAGATTTTTAAAGATTTTTTCCTATGTATTCTTACTGTATATAAAACTTTGATTGCCCATTGTGGTCCCACCCTACCCTTGGGGGTCATGATTTGAACAAACTTGAATCTACACTACCTCACAATGATTCCACGTAAGTTTCATACTTTCAAGCACAGTGGTTCTTGAGAAGAAGATTTTTAAATGATGCCATTAATTTTTCGCAAATTCATAATTATCTCCCCTTGGAAGAAGACGTGGCCCTTCATTTGAAAAAACTTGAATCCCCTTTACTCAAGGATACTCTGTGGCAAGTTTGATTGAAATTGGCCCAGTGGTTCTTAGGAAGAAGATGAAAATGTGAAAAGTTTACAATGACAACAACGCCAACAACGATGACAGACAACGGACCAATTTCGATCAGAAAAGCTCACTTGAGCCTTCGGCTCAGGTGAGCTAAAAATTATTAGCAAAAAATACTACAGTAAAACTTGGTTATATGTAAATCACTTGGGCTTTGAATTTTGATTCCTTATAACCAAGATTCTTTATAATTGTAAGGAACATAGTGAAATGTCTTCTTGGTGACTGGTAAAAAATTCCTTATATCCAAGATTTCCTTATAAGCCAGTTCTTCATAACCGAGTTTTACTTTATCCAAGATTTGTTTGTGCTCTGAAGCTGAGTTTTCTTTGTACATACATGTAATAATGTGCAAAGAAAGTAAACAGTTGTATTTACAAAAACAGATATACATGTAATTGATACAATTTACAGTATACATGGTATAGGACGCTTAAAATTTATGATAACAAATCTTGGAATTGGATCTGCAATTGATATTGAACAGTACAACTTTGTTATAAATAAAGAAGCTTTTACAAAGAAGTTATATATATATATATATATATATATATATATATATATATATATATATATATATATATATATATATATATATATATATATATAATATAAAATATATATTTTATAAAGAAGCAAAATTCAAGGTCTCAATCACTTTCTTATGATCAAGTTTTAACTGTACTATATACATGTATTACAATGTAGCTTTCAAATGAACATGTATTGATTTTTGTAAAATGATAGCTAAGCATTTATTTCCTAGACAGCATTTGTTGTATATGGTCCATATAACAAGCAATTAAATTTTTTAACTCTTCAGTATAATAACAAAAAATAGATTTTGGTAAGTAAGATTTCCACATAAATAAAATTCTTATGAGTAAAATGTGATTAACAGTGACACCTGGTGACTTTTTTTTTACCTTTGTCTGACTTGTTTCCACCTCTCCATGTGTTTCAGAAGGAGACTTTCTGCTGGAGGAGCATCATCTGCATCCTAGTCATAAAAAATTATAAGTTATCATTCAACAGTCTATTTATATAAACAACCAGAAGACGAGGCCATTATATTCCATACTTTTATAGAGCTCTTTATGAAAAGATATGAAGAATATAGTAATCCTGTTAGGGAAAAGTTGATAATCTGACAAGAATATGCCTTCAGGCCTTGTTTGTTGTTCAATCTTTATTACTTTTTTAAATTATAAATTAAAACAAGAAAATTTTGCTAAAAATGAAACTTTAACATCCCAGTATATTTAAAATAATATTCAAGGATAATTTCATTAGATGGTAAGACATGAATTTATACAAACTTAAAATTTTAACAAATTTTTAAAACAACATTTATTTGATACCATTTTTTGAAATAAAAGGTTGAAGAAAGAGTAAGGTATCTTCTTTATACCAAAGCTCTACCTCAATTCAAAACCTAGAGTACATTAATTGTAGATCAATAGTGAAAGGTCATAATCAACATCACAAAATAAATGTGGGTTTTTAAAAAGGGTCATGGTACAAGCAAAGTACATACACTGTATATGTACCATAATATCAAATTCCTAACACAATAAAAAAAGGTGACATGACTGACCCCCTAGTGCCAGCAAGAGATACATGAATAAAATTTCCTGCAACATTTGTGATCATCCAAATAATCCTACCTGTAGATTTATAATCTGTAGTGGGTAGAGGAATGGTGTATTTTTCATAAACATACCAATACAGTAAAACTCGGTTATAACACTGGGACCTGTGAAATTACTTCGCTATATCTGTTATTCATTATATCCGTATAAGGAATTCGTAAAATTTATTTAGCTGGGGATCCAAGAAAACTATATCTGTGAATTCGCAATATCCGTGTTCGAACTAAACGAGGTTTACTGTATAAAGAAATATATGTAGGTCTTGGGGCACTGGGTGGGGTATTTCACCTGAACATACTTACCGATATAAAGAAAAAGGTCTTGGGTTGGGCCACTGGGTGGGGTATCTGACATTGATATAAAGAAATAGGTCTTGGGTTGGGCCACTGGGTGGGGTATCTGACATAAACTTACCGATATAAAGAAATAGGTCTTGGGTTGGGGCACAGGGTGGGGAATCCTGTAGTCTGTATGGTCATCAGGATCCTGTTTTATTGGGGGCGGCATTTTGTAAATATCTGGAATTCTTTCAGTCTGCAAGAAACAGTTACCAGTTTTCAAAACATCCATATTTTTGACATGATAATTGTCATCAAGTCACATCAGCATTGTAAAGAGCTGAAAAAAAAATGCTTATTCACTGTCACTTGATCAACCTTAACCTTTTTCCCAGTGATTTTAAACTTACAAATCAAAATATTACCAAAAATTTACATAAATAAACTAAATATCCCTCCCTTTAACTTAATTTTTAGAGGTAAGCACAGAAAAGTTTGGAGTGCATCAAAGTGTAACTTTAATTTTTGTGAATGTGAAAATAATTAACTAATTGATACCTCCTCTTCACTAGCAGGTGCTGTTTCAGGTTCTGGGGAGGGGGAGTGAGGGGGCGGCTCTCTGCTGTGAGGGTTGTTTTTCAGCCAAGCTCGACAAATAGGGTAGAGAGGAGAATCCTCATCAAAGACAGCTAAGTCCACACTGCGGTCGAACAGCTTCATGATGTATGTGTCTGTCAATAAAATTTTCAGTATTAGGTAAGATATTCTTATCTCTGATTATTTGCAACTGTTGCACTGAAATCTCTTTTGTTGAAACATCTTAACATGCATTTTTCATGTGTTGTATGACTGCTTTGACAACATTTTAGCTTTAGTACAGGTGACTCTCGATGGCTCGAACTCCGATCTCTCGAAGTTCTCGATCTCTCGAAGTGAACCTCCGGTCCCGTTTTTTTCCTCTATATAACTAAGCAAATTTACTTCCGATCTCTCGAACTTCCAATCTCTCGAAGTTCTCTATCTCTCGAACCAAGACCTGGGTCCCGTTACACACATTTCATTGTTTTTTACTCTCTATCTCTCGAAGTTTTTATTGCGCTTTGTACACGCCAATCAAGCATGAAATTAATGCAGCTTGGACTTACCTGGATAACAGTGAACGCCTGGGGCTGGCATGGAGGTGTTAATTGGGTGTTTACATAGATGACACTATACCTGTGAGCATCTGAGTGTTGATATAAATAATTGGTTATAATTGGTAAATTATAAATGAATTGCTTCACAACTTATTTTTGACTTGACAGCGCGACGAAAATTTTTAGAAAATAATTTAAGAGGCGTGTCAATAATTTTCCATAGATTATGAAGTTTTTATTAGAAAGTACATAATCCCAGTATGACAAACATTGCACAAGAAATCCTATCTCAAGAATTAAATACCGATTTAATACGAGAAATCTGTTAAAGTACCCGATCAGGCCCGTGGGTTAGCCACACCGACGATTGATATTCAGATTTTATGTAATCATGAAATGGGAACAAATAAATATTGAAATTTAAAGAGATCGTTTTATTTATTCAAAATACGATCATTGTTGTTGAAATCAAGTGAATTATCTGTAAACTACGAATGAAAACGTGCAATGCTATTATCAACATATATTTCCGGTATTTATAATAGTAGAACAATGATGATCGGAACTGAAAATTCCGGATTTTATTCACTTTCTATCTCTCGAACCCCTCGATCTCTCGAACTTTTCTTGCGGTCCCTTGAACTTCGAGAGATCGAGAGTCACCTGTATTTTTTAAGTCTTAAAGCTGTATTTTGTAAAATTAATAATTGGTACCTAATTATTGTTGTATTGATACTTACGCTGGTATTGTCCGGGCTCGTAATCAGAATGGGAACAAATTATTGTATTGACACTTACATTGGTATTGTCTGGGATCGTAATCAGAATGGGAACGCTGGTATTGTCTCGGATCGTAATCAGAATGGGAACTAATTATTGTTGTATTGACACTTACGCTGGTGTTGTCTGGGATCGTAATCAGAATGGGAACTAATTATTGTTGTATTGACACTTACGCTGGTATTGTCTGGGATTGTAATCAGAATGGGAACTAATTATTGTTGTATTGACACTTACGCTGGTATTGTCTGGGCTCGTAATCAGAATGGGAACTAATTACTGTTGTATTGACACATACGCTGGTATTGTCTGGGCTCATAATCAGAATGGGAACTAATTATTGTTGTATCAACACTTACGCTGGTATTGTCCGGGCTCATAATCAGAATCATCCTTCGCTCGCTTTCTTTTTCTTCCTCTAGTGGTGGATGAACGTTTACTTGGGGATTGCATTGGAGATGGTTCACTGAAAATTAAAAAGTCCTCAAATGGTCAATCATTGCAGTCCAAATGAACGTTCCATTCTTTTTGAATATATACATGTATGTAAGCTTTATACTATGCATTTACATTACAAAAACATTGTATCTTGATTACATGTATATATTACATGTACTAGAGATGTCAAATCAGACAATTTTTGATAATCGGTTACTCGGATGTTTTTCCGATTGAGTACCCGGGTACTCTGTACATGTAAAAATGTAAATACAAGTGTGTTAATTTTCTTGAGCCACGTTAAGCTCTGTTAAAACCCAAAGCTGTTTTTATCACGTTTATAAATGTATACATATAAACATTGAGTCCAATGGGATTGATTTTTTGGTACTAAATTTATTTATCAAATAAACACAAAAGACACAATTAATACATCAAAATTTACAAATGGTTTATAGTTGTTGTTTAGGATCTATTTCATCAGCGCAAAAAGGAGAACAATCTTTTATGCAGGTTTGTGATGATTAGACTAGCCATAGGGAAGGAACAGACATTCTTGGGATCGCTAGTCTAAGTTGGTTGGTTGTTTCCCCCGTATAAGTTACTACTCAAACTGACTTTCAACATATTATTGAATCTTTAATTATTTCTAAATATTTCTTCACTTTTGAAGTGGGTAGAGGCATTTCTATGCATGTCTGATTTCGCTGCCAAATATTAACTACATAATTTAAAAATGATTTGAAGATAATAGACTATACTTAATCATTGTTCACTGAAAGCAATCATTGAAGCCATCCAAAAATTAAAGACCACAATAGGTGAGAACAGCAGGTCACTAATTACTGTATACACAGCCACAGGCGATAACGGGTGATTCACAGGTGTACATGACGACACGCTAATAACCGTATGCAGTTTTAAGTTTTTTTTTGTTTTTGTTTTGTTTGTTTGTTTGTTTTCTTTTTTTTTAATAATTTTTGATAAAAATATGTACTTTAAAATAAGAAAAAATACACTTCCGAGTAACCGAATACCATTATTAGTATTTGATACTCGGACGTTCGATCGAGTACCCGGTTAACCGGGTACTCGTTGACATCCCTATATATTACATATTGTTAGACAAACAAATATTGCTGTTAATTCATAATTTACAATTTACTAGTTGAATGCCCAATATAAATAGTCCAACATCACATCCATTTATGCTTACAGTTAAATTTCATACCTGAGACAAATATCAATTTCACCCCCTTCGTCACTGGACTCTTGCCTGTAAATAAGTTCAAAATGAACATAACAATATCCTGCCCTGCTAAATACTTACATGTATCTCTTTCTCTTATCTTTCTCATTTACAGTTTAAGACATACATGTACATGTTTATTGTCATGATGTACATGTCTTGAACTAAAAAAATCAAAACTTCATTAAATTTTATCTCTTTTACTTTGAACTTGTTGAAGATCTCTGCAGACTTTACACAAACTTTCTATAGAGTTCAACTTCACTTTATGAGTTTCATGATTACAATAAAAAAGAAAGTGTGAAAGATTGTCACATTTAACAGTAAAATGAGTAAAATACTTGAAAACAAATACTAATTAGGAAAGAGGACTCTCATAATAAAATTGCCATATAATAAAATAGTGACTTTTTCATTATAAAGGCTGCACAAAAATTAAACAATTTGACATTTTTCCGTATTTTTCTATTCAATCTGGCCTACCACAGTGACTTTTGGTAAAGATGGTATAATTGTCTTTTTTAATAACAATGATTTTATTTGGTGTATAAACCATGTATCATTTGTTATTACTACAAGTATGCTCTACATCTATGAACTCTACTCATTTTAACTTGCCCCTCATCTCTTTTGTCGACAAGAAGTTGTAATGTGGCATCAAATCTGTTTCTTGCTGAGACAACTTCAGCCAAGTCTGCAATATATTAAAAAAGCATGTCATCAAAGTAATATACTTCTTTCAACATGTACAACCAAGCTGGCAGCCTGTGTTCTGAATTTGTTTTCCTTAAGTTTCCTAATTCATTGATACTGAAATTAATTATATCTGATAACCAGTTCCAGATAAATGTAAAGATACTTTCTTTTGATATTTAATTTAAGATTATCTGAATTATACATATGAGTGATCTCATTCAGAGCCCGCTTCGGTAATTTTGGTAACAAGTTGTTTCCACCTTAAACAGGTTGCTACCAATTGCCCAAATGGGTTATAATAGCTGTTTTAAATACAATATCCCAAATGGGATATAAATATACTGTGCAAAAATGGCAAATTTTTATTTGGGACTTTTTTTCAAAAATCTGAATAAAAATTACATAAAATCCAACAACTTTTGGTAAACAAGTTTTTCTGTTACTGTAGTTGTTATATTTTGCACAGTAATTTTATATCCCATTTGGAATATTAAAGCGAGCGCAGCAAGCTCTTACAACAGTGCATGGGTGAAGAGAAAATTTGGACTCTATACATTGATCTAAATGATTTTTTTCTGCAGTTACCTCTAGACCCACAATGCAAAGAGAATGCATCTCTCACTGTGACAACTGCTAAAAATTCACCAAAAAAATAAACACAACTTGATGTACATGTAATGGATTTTGCAAATAGATAACCCAAATAGATTAAACATTCTTTCTTACAAATTTGCACTTTTCAGAATTTGTTATGGAAATGCAGCTAACATAGAATGTCATGTGATGTCACAGACTAGACATTTCAAATGTCTCATGTGGTTTGAAGGAGGCAGATCTAAGTTAAAGTAATATACAACTGTGCTTGCCTCATTTCAGTTGCACCATCAACATATTATCTTTGTAACAGAAAAGGAGAAAAATACAACAGACCAGCATTTAAAACCTAGCCCCTTGAATCTCCAGTCAGGTGGTCTATCAACTGAACTATCGATCTGGCCACCTGCTATCGAACCTTTCTGATCACCACATCTCAAACATGCTACATGTATAAATCCATTCAGTCTTTGCAAAAGTTGAAAATTTTTACAGGACATAAGGTCTGGTAAAAAAATATATTTTACCAGACCAAGCATTTACTTACCAGACCGACTTTTTTCTTTAAATATATACATCATTATGATACAGCGATTGAAAAAGGGGGGGTGGGGGGGTGGGGGGGGTGGGGGGGTATTCTCAATGTTAAATTGAACCTTAAATAGATCCAGAGTTGAGATTACAAAAAAAAGAAGAAGATTTCATTGAAATGAACAAAATTACTGTTAATAATTTTCCTTTTTAAAAGGTAGTACACATGAGAGATGCATACAATTTTCTCTTTTTCTGGTTATTTGACACATACAAATGAAATACACAGTATCAAATATTTTTTTAAACTTAAAATGTACTTTAAAATATTTCTTTCTTTCCTGAAGTACCTCATAATAGTTATCATTGTTTAATAATGAAAATAATTTACCCCAACCGAATCTATGTATGAGCTTTCTATAGATCTATATTCCATAACAAAGAAAATTTGAATTTGAAATAAACGATCATGACAGAGTTGCTATAGGTAAAAATTTATCACACATTACTGCTAAATAGATCGAATAAAGGATATGTGTGGAAAATAAGACCATAATTATGTACATTTAAATTCAGATTTTTAGGCCTTATTTTATCATCGGACATTCGGTCCTGAATCCTAAATTTTTTTACCGACCCGAACCAAATTTTACCAGTAAAAACTGATGGTCCGATGACTTTCGCATAGCTGCCCATTTTGACACTTAGTTCCAATCTGTAAACATGTTCCGATCTAACAAAAATTGATGTATAATCCTAATTCAATATCAGGCAGAAATGATGTCAGGTCCTTAAGCATAGCATCTGAATACACTTCAAATTTACACGCCATGTTGACATTCAGAACTCTCTGGATTGATCATAGTAATGCACTAATAATAATAAATGAGTTTGAGTTATTGCCCATGATTATTTTGCTACATTGCCAATACATGGAACGAATTCTATCCTGAAACCAGGTCTGTAGGACAATATCATTTTAACGATAGAATGACTACAAAATAAGAAATCTTTAACTAACCATTTAGGATATAATATCTCATTTGAGCAATTATAGTGAGCGCAGCGACCGGCGAAAAGCACCGTTCGTCACTGTGAGCTCTTAAAGCAACACCTGGGTGAAGAGAAAATTCGGACTTTGCAGATTGATCCAAATGAAATTTTTTCCGCAGTTACCTCGTGACCCATAATGCAACGCTTGTTCTTCTCACTGCTAACTTCGTTCTTGCGGTAAAACAACAACTAATAAATCACTATTCACAAAAAATAAACTCACCTTAATTTAATGGATATTGCATACAGATTGTAAATGCGATCTTTGTTAACATTTTGCACTCTTCAAACTTCGATCGTTTATGGAAATGCAGCTAAAATACGATGTCATGTGACGTCACAGTCAGACGTTCAAAATGTCTCGTGCAGTTTGAAGAGGCAGATCTTAAAATTAAGTGAACAACTGCGCTCGCCCCAACGGTCGCACCGTCAACATATTACAACTGTCAACTACCATATAAATAAGGCATCCAAAGCTACCGTGTTAGACAGGGTATTTAAATATATTTGTATTTGAAAAAATACTACATACACATATCACGATATATTTGTACACAAAAACAGTAGAGTATTAATATTAAATAGCTCATTTTAACTCAAAACTTCCCATTTATACTAACTCTGTTTGTTCTTTGATGACGACATTTTCTGGAAATCCTAAATAAAAAATCTCTTACAGTTACAGATATATAGATAAATAACCCTTGTTAAATTTCCTTAAAAAACGAAGTTAAATTTCCGCCATATTTGTCTCAATGCCAAAAATATTTGAAACGCAGCATGTGATTGGCTGAATTGCCCTGAATTTACTTCAACAACTCGTTCCTAAACTGACTCATAATAGGAATTTATCCAGAAACAAGTCTTATTTCCAAAATTCGATGAAACAAGAGTTTTTATTTTAGTTAGATATAATATAATAATAAGATATTCTTTCGTTAATTAGAACATTATACACTTCTTTTTCATTTCATTACTCACTATGGAATATTTCAAGTACATCTTAATGTTTATTTACTGTTATGTCACTTTTATGTCAAAAGTCTGAGATATTGAAATGTGGCAGTATGCTAAAAGCAAACCATTAAGATGGTCTGTCCCAATACTAAGATAATACTTTAAAGGAAACACAGCTGTTACGTTTAAATACGGTAAGTCATCATACACTGTAGGAGAATCCTTGAAATCATTTCATTTTCAGTAGCACCAACTTACAACTGTACAACGTCAAGAGACACTATATGGGCACTACAGCAATGGTATGCACATAAAAAGAGACGGTTGGACATAGAAATCAAACTCGACAAATAGGGTAGAGAGGAGAATCCTCATCAAAGACAGATAACAGACTAAGTCCACACTGCGGTCAAACAGCTTCATGATGTATGTGTCTGTCAATAAGATTTTTAGTCTTGGGTAAGATACGGTAAGACACTATATGGGCACTACAGGTAAAGCAAGGGTTGCACATAAAAAAGAGATGGTTGGACATAGAAATCAAACTTAGTAAGTTGTAATCTTTGATTACAAGTACTAGTACCATATATTTTCTACAGTACAATGACCAGGTCCATCACTACACTTGGCTACTAAATCATACGTATTTCTTAGATATTTCTTGAGCATTTTTTTTATCAGGATGAGCAGGTATTATAACAGAAAATATTAACAATTTTCTAAAGCAACTGGTCATTGTACTGGAAGTGCTACAATGATATGTTGCCATAGCTGCAGAACTGTAGAACTGAACCCTTTATATTCGTCTCTACAGACCAATAAACCTGCTTGTTGTGAATTTTTTGTCGGATGGCATAACGAGTTTATTGGTCTGTAGAGACAACTATAAATGGTTAGGAGGTGGATAAAATATTCAGGTTGGTTATAGAATATGTCTAGAATTAGAGGATGAAAGGTCGTTGATTGAGCAAAGCTGGAAAGTGTCGAAATACATCCCCAAAGTGCCCAGAAAATCTTTGCTCTGTGAATTGCACTTTATTTATATTATGGGATCTGTAGGGTTATGGTCAAAGACTAAAATATAAAACCATAACACTACAGTTCTGCAGCTAATTTTGCCACACATTGCTGTTTTAATAAGCATTTATTCCATCAAACATTTCTGTATACTGTACAGAATATATCACTAGCTAGTTTCTGTTTTTCTTTTAAGTGTGCGAGTGATGTCTGATGAATCCAAGGACAAAAGGGTAGATCCTTCAGAACCAGCACAGAAGGAGCATCATGAGACAGCCTTATATCAGGACATCAAACCCACTCAGTGGCCCATCATCTACTCCCCAGAGTATAACATTGGATTTCTAGGACTGGAAAAACTCCATCCCTTTGATGCAGGAAAATGGGGGAAGGTGTATGGCTTCTTGAAAGGTCTGCTTAAGAGGCATGCTTTTTGTAAACTTCCAAATAAAATTTCTCCTGTAAGAAGAATTGAACATTACTGATGAATTTCAACATCTACTTTTTGTATTAATAACACTTCACATGATATTTAAATCTGATGGTTGGGATGTGGGGGAGGAGAGGGAAATTGACATGCAGATTGAGATACCTGTGTATTTCCATTCTTGAACTGGACAGTGTGCATTTACAATCACTGATAATAATACATGTATTTCACATTTTTTTTCATACTCTAATATATCGAAAATTATATGTTCCTATGCAATACAATACACAGTTACATGTACAAAAATTGAGTGTATTGATTATTATCATAGAGGAGAATCACGGAAATATTCTGTAAACATGTACCCAGTAAATCATTCTGTTTAAAATAATGTTGTTTATTAATTCATGTCTCTTGATGTGATACACAGATGCTGAAATGATCCGGGATGATACAACAATACGAGCCACGGAAGCCACAGAAAAGGACTTATTGGTGGTTCACACCAAAGGTTACATCAACAACTTAAAAGTAGGTCCAGGATCAGTCCAACAGTTTTTGTTGAAAGTAAATTGACATTGAAGATACAATTACATGAAATATCAAGATTTATTTAATTTTCTTCATACAGAAAAAAAAAATTTCGCTGCTACTGAATCCAGTATCTGAAGAATTTTGTGTGAAACAAACATATTGATTAGGCAATTCTAGTATTTGTAAAAAAAAAAAATAAATATTTGAAAAAAATTAAACAATTCTGCCACTAAGCACAAATATTTAACAATAAAGACCTGTGGTTATTTCTGGCAGCTTTCATCCATTATTGAGGGAGCGGATGAGGTAATTTGTGTCACTCATTCAATCTTTGTCTTGTCAAAAGATGATCTGGAGCTAAGTTATCTCCCCTGAAAAGCATTACAAAGGGGAAAAAGTCAATTTCTTTGGTAGAAAATAAAAATATATATGTATACAGTAATGAATGACATGGATACAGTTCAAGTATAATGAAATTTGCACTCTAGTTTAGCTGCACTGCATTTCACAGTATTTATTGCACAACATGATCAGAGTTGAATGAAGAGAATTATCAAGTTTCTATTACATTATCATGTACACTTAACATTGCATTTATCCCACATGCTGTTAAAAAGGTTAAAAAAAAACATTCATTTAACTTCTCACATCTTTTGAAATTTGATAAAACAGTTTGTTAAATAAATGAACATCAATGTGAATGTGACACATTTGTCACAATTTTTACATTTTGTCATGACCTAAAACGTGCTGCATCATTGTTGCTCTTTCTGTTTGTATGTTGTGAACTTGAACATTGACCAATGTAACACACTTACCTAAAGAGGATGAAAGTCAAATAAAAATACCTGTATACCAAAAAAAAAAAAGTTGAGCATTTTTGTACACGTTACAATGTTCTTTTTTATTTGAAAAAAATTATAGCAAATTATGATTGTATAATTGATATATTTTTAGTTAAATCTGTTTGTACTTCATGCATGTGGTTATAAGTCCAGCAATTATTTCTTTTCCCAGAGGGGGGGGGGTATTCATGTTATATAGAGAAAAGTAATATTTAAAAAAGATCCTTTAATGCATCTTTGAAAAAGGCAGTTCCATGTAAATTGATGTTATAAACTGTTAACATGTTTAAGTGTCAGGAGATTTTATTCTTTTGAAATACATATTGAATGTATTATTATAATACATGTACCTGTGAATACACAGACAATTAGGTTGACAACAAGCATACAGATCATCTTTGTAGAATTTTAACACAGTAGATATTTCATTATGGTTAAAAAGTTATAATTTTCAGATATACATATTACATATACAGTTACAGGTACCAAATTACATTTTTGGTAACTTAGCCAGAATTCTTCAAAATTTTTAATCCTGGATTTCTGTAAAGATGCCTACTGTGTTACAAGACATGGATTGGATGGAACATTTGTTGTACATGTTATTTTGTAAATGTAAAATTTTGCCCCCAGCAAGGATTGACATGCAGATTGGGTCAATACACAAGTTATTTTTAGGGAACAGGTAGAAATCTTAATAGTACTCAATCTTCACCAGAGCAGACCACTGTAAAATTGTCAAGGAACTTACATATTCAAGAAAGTTCATGGATTAATACCTGTTTAAATTATAATATTAGTTGACGAAACTTATATTAACATTTTCAACTAATATCTATACTGATCACTAAAACATAACTGCATGGAAACAGATTAACAAAACCCAAATCACAGCTTGATTAATTCCTTATAAAAGATCATTTCTGTGGTTACTACTCTTTGTAAAATTTTGGGATCAGTCACATTAGCAGAACTCCTTTCCTCTTTCATCATTTTCATGTAAGATTGTATGTAACAGCAAAATTGTAAATAAAAGAATTACATTTTACATCTCAGGATCAAATTGAGAGGGAAAAATTGAACCACAGAAATCAGTTGTTATAAGGTTTATGATGCAAGCATATTGATAAACTAACTCTGCATGATATATATCTAACTGAAACAGATATTTAAAAGAATGTGAAGGTCAAAGAAGTAAATGTGTTAGGATTACAGATAACATTTACTTGTGTAATGTATTTATTGTTTGCATAATTAAATCTTTGCATCTGTGATTTTATATATTAGTTTATTGTAAATGAAAATTAATGTGCATTTATCAATTGTGTATTACTAAGTTAAAAACTATTTACTTGCATGTATTATTTTAAGGATTAGTCATTATACATGTATATTGAGTTGTCTTTGAAACTTTTTTTCCATTTGTAAATGATTTGTAGTGGAAATAGTTAGCATACATGTAGATTATAGAAGTAACAGAATTAAATGAATTTTCCAGCTTTGACATTTTAGTCTTCTCAAGAGCTTATGGAGCTGTTGTAATTAAACCATAGAATAAAACCTACCTTAATTCTAATCACTAACAGAAAACTGAAATATGTATCTTTTCTCAATTCTCTAGTACAACACTATTACTTCATTTAACATGTTTAAATTCCTTTACGTAATTCTACTAATTAGAATCAGCTGACATTTACTTTGTAACTCAGACCCCTTGAAAGATTGAATGAGTGGTCCAGAATCCCTCATTTAGATGATGGTGCCTCTCCTCCCATTTTGAGGTGTCTACCATTTTGTTTTTTAGTGGAGCATAAATGTGGCCGCAATAACGGAAGTCCCTCCTGTGGCTCTCCTCCCCAACTTTATCGTCCAGAGGAAAGTCCTCCGCCCATTCCGGTATCAGACGGGGGGTACAATTCTGGTAAGTTAAAGTTTCACTTATCTCCATGCTTTGATACCTCAGAGATCAAAATTTCCGAATCAATCACTCTGTATCTAAGAAATAATAAATTACAACTATGTTTACTTAAATGTATTGGTGGTATCCACTTTACTGTTTTCATTCAATCAAAATTGTACTGGATTTATCTCTCAGGCAGGAAAACTTGCCAAGGAGAGAGGATGGGCAATCAACATTGGGGGAGGATTCCACCACTGCTCGGCGGACCGTGGAGGGGGATTTTGTGCCTACGCTGACATTACCTTGTCCATCAGATTCATGTTTGACCGACTGGAGGGGATAGCTAAGATACTAATTATAGACCTAGATGCTCATCAGGTAGAGAACTGTCAAAATCTATTATTTCCTGCTCTAGGACAGTTATAAATGTGTAGTGTGACTGGGATTTAAAGAGTTAACCCCCTTTATTCATTTTCTCTAAATGTTCAAGCAAATATTGGCTCAAGTCTTTGGTCTTCTTAGAGTTGCAATAAGTATTTTCTTTTAGAATTAATCATATGCAGATTTTTGTACTGTTTTTTAAAATTATACACTGTAAAATCACACATTTCTTATTAATTTATACATTTTTTTGTTACCCATCTATAGGGAAACGGTCATGAGAGGGATTTCATGAACGATGAACGGGTTTACATAATGGATGTATACAATAGAGGAATCTACCCTCATGATGGCTATGCAAAAAGTAATGCTTGCTAAGTACATAAAGTACCAAAATTTTACAATTATTGAAGAAACAGAATATGATTTAGAAAACAAGCTTGAAGATTACAGAGAGATGATATTGAAATAAACAACCAGCATGTAAGCATAGATAAAAGATGTACAATTGATATATATACTTAATGGTTTTACAGGAGCTATTAAAAGGAAGGTGGAACTTGCTCACTTCACTGATGATAAAACCTACCTAACCCTTGTGGACAGGTGAGAATTTTCTTGAAAAATGGTAATCTTTACTTATTTGGGTCCACCCTAAAACATATTGCAACACACAGAAGGTAACTCCATGGCAGGCAAAATTAATGTTTGCCCCCTCCAAGGAAACAAGAAGATAAGATAGGTAACAGAATCTGAACCAGGCCTTGCTGATAGCATTAAATAAATAAACAACTGCCTTGTGTTACCTGCTGATATTTAGGGATCATCACTTTGTTTTTATCTACATGTAGGTCAGGAAGGAGTGGCATATTTACACTCTTTTTTTTTTGTATGGAAATTTTCAGATCATCTTAATAAAATAAATGAGTAGGTGAAGTGTGTTTTGATCAAGCTAGTGTAAATTGTGATATAATGTATCCTTTTATAGCTACTCTTGTTTTTTGTTCATGCCAACATGTATGTTATACATGTACATAGATACTGACCACTTTATGCATCATTAGACACAGGAAAGCTTTATGTATCAGATGTTTGACTTTTCAGACACAGGAAAGCTTTATGTATCAGATGTTTGACTTTTCCGACACAGGGATGCTTTATGTATCAGATGATTGACTTTTCAGACACAGGGATGCTTTGTGTATCAGATGTTTGACTTTTCAGACACAGGAAAGCTATATGTATCAGATGTTTGACTTTTCAGACAAAGGAAAGCTTTATGTATCAGATGTTTGACTTTTCAGACACAGGAATGCTTTATGTATCAGGTGTTTGACTTTTCAGACACAGGGATGCTTTATGTATCAGGTGTTTGACTTTCCAGACACAGGAATGCTTTATGTATCAGATGTTTGACTTCTCAGACACAGGGATGCTTTATGTATCAGATGTTTGACTTTTCAGACACAGGAATGCTTTATGTATCAGATGTTTGACTTTTCAGACACAGGAAAGCTTTAAGTATCAAATGTTTGACTTTTCAGACACACTAATGAGGCCTTGGAGGAGTTCCAGCCCGATGCTGTCGTGTATAATGCTGGGACTGATATACTGGAGGGAGACCCCCTAGGGAACCTCTCAATATCTGCCCAGGTTTAAAATGTTCTATTTTTAGAATTATATACACATTGTCTTGTTTTATTCAGTAATTTCCCATGTAAATTTACGGAACTGTAGTGAATTTGTTCACTGTCTGCAATAATTACTCTTTAATGTCTTTTTTAAAAATCTTTTATTTCATTAAAGATAAAAGAGATTTATTAAATATTATATGCATATATCCCTGAAAACTAATGATTTTTTTAAATTTTTCTAGGGAATTATTGAAAGGGACAAACTTGTGTTCAGCCATGTGCGAAGTAGAAATATTCCCATTCTCATGGTGACCAGTGGTGGCTATCAACGAAGTACAGCACGGATCATCGCAGACTCAATCCTCAATCTCAAACAGCTTGGACTAATTGGCTGCAAGGAGGCAGAAAATGCTCCTAAACCCCGTATGTAGCCCCATATTTGGATATTTAAATCATCTTCAAATTTCTAGACATAATTGCTGTGTCATTTTTGTCGAAATCGAGGAGTTCTTTCCATGTAGCCCACTTGAACAGATATAATTTTTACATGTTTTAGAAAAAAAATGTGTGTTTTTTCTTTTTGTTAATCCTCTCTATTTTCATTTAATTTCTTCTGTTTGTAGTTTTGACTTTATTTGTTGTATTGATTAAGGATAAATAAAACAAACAAAAAAATTGATGCATGGATTGGTGTATATTTTTTGCCTGATTTTGAACAGAAATTGCATAAACAGTAAATATCCAAGAATATAAAAAAAAATTTAAGTATTTTTAGGGTTCAAAAAATGTAATTGTGCTTTTTGCCATGGGGCCATTATTCCGCAGAATCACAATTTCTGTTCAATCCAAGGGTAGAAAATTGCTCTGATTTTTGAAATTGTATATGTCCTTTATTCATTTTAAGTACACTGTGAAAAAAATTGTGAAAAAATTGTGACCTTGTACATAGCATAAATTAATCCCACGTGGAAAAAAATATGTCTACAACTACTTTTGCAGCTTTGTGCCATTTTTAGGTCACCTGAGTCACTCAGGTGACCTATTGCTATCCGTTCTCGTCCGTCGGCGTGCGTCGTGTGTTAACATTTGAACATTTTTAGCTTCTTCTCTGAAACCGCTTAACCAATTTCAACCAAATTTGGCATATAGCATCTATGGGTGAAGGGGAACAAAAATTGTGAATTTCATGGTTCCTGCCCCCCTGGGGCCTGAGGGGTGGGGCTAAAACCACCAAAAATAATGCAATCTTTAAAAATCTTCTTCTTTACTCCAGGACATCAAGCAGTCAAACTGTTGGCATCATTGTAACAAGCATTGAGCCCTCCACCAAAATTGGGAAATTCATGGCCCCAGGGTCAGGGGTTCTGGCCCCAGGGTGGGGCTATATAGATCATATAGTGAAAGTGCATTATTTCTTTGAAAATCTTCTTCTCTGCTCCTGGGTATTAAATAAAGTAACTTAGTACATAGTTATGAAGAACAAGAGTGCCTTTCCAAAATTGTGAAATTCATGACCCCAGGGTCAGGGGTTCTGGTGTTAGGGCGGGGCTCTATTGATTATATAGTGAAAATGCATTAATTCTTTGAAAATCTTCTTCTCTGCTCCTGGGTATTAAGTAAAGTAACTAAGTACATAGTTATGATGAGCAAGAAGTCCTCTTCAGAAATTGTGAAATTCATGGCCCCTGGGTCAGGGGTTCTGGCCCCAGGGTGGGGCTATGTAGATCATATAGTGAAAGTGCATTATTTCTTTGAAAATCTTCTTCTCTGCTCCTGGGTATTAAATAAAGTAACTAAGTACATATATATGAAGAGCAAGAGTGCCTCTTCCAAAATTGTGAAATTCATGGCCCCAGGGTCAGGGGTTCTGGTGTTAGGGCGGGGCTCTATTGATTATATAGTGAAAATGCATCAATTCTTTGAAAATCTTCTTCTGTGCTCCTGGGTATTAAATAAAGTAACTAAGTACATAGTTATGATGAGCAAGAAGTCCTCTTCAGATATTGTGAAATTCATGGCCCCTGGGTCAGGGGTTCTGGCCCCAGGGTGGGGCTATATAGATCATATAGTGAAAGTGTATTATTTCTTTGAAAATCTTCTTCTCTGCTCCTGGGTATTAAATAAAGTAACTAAGTACATAGTTATGAAGAGCAAGAGTGCCTCTTCCAAAATTGTGAAATTCTTGGCCCCAGGGTCAGGGGTTCTGGTTTTAGGGCGGGGCTCTATAGATTATATAGTGAAAATGCATTAATTCTTTGAAAATCTTCTTCTGTGCTCCTGGGTATTAAAAAAAGTAACTAAGTAATAGTTATGATGAGCAAGAGTGCCTCTTCCAAAATTGTGAAATTCATGGCCCCAGGGTCAGGGGTTCTGGTGTTAGGGTGGGGCTCTATAGATTATGTAGTGAAAAAGCATAAATTCTTTGAAAATCTTCTTCTCTGCTCCTGGGTATTAAATAAAGTAACTTAGTACATAGTTATGATGAGCAAAAGTGCCTCTTCAAAAATTTTGAATTTCATGGCCCGAGGGTCAGGGGTTCTGGTGTTAGGGCGGGGCTCTGTTGATTATATAGTGAAAATGCATTGATTCTTTGAAAATCTCCTTCTCTGCTACTGGAGATTATTTAAACAAACTAAGTGCATGGTTTTGATGCATAAGGATGCCTCTTCAAAAATTGTGAATTTCATGGCCCCAGGATCAAGGGTTCTGGTGTTAGGACGAGGCTTTATTGATTATATAGTGAAAATGCATTGATTCTTTGAAAATCTTCTTCTCTGCTACTGGAGATTATTTAAACAAACTAAGTGCATGATTATGATAGGCAAGGATGCCTCTTCCAAAATTTTTAAATATGTGGCTTCAGTTTTTGGGGTTCTTGAGGAAGGGGGGGGGGGTTCTATTGATTATATAGTGAAAAAGCATTAATTCTATTAATTAATCATTAATTAATCCTGTCTGCTCCTTAGCGTTGAGCTGATAAATAAATTGCTTAGCTATGATGAAAATGGGAGCTTCGAACAGAATTTTTATATCTTGTGGTCCTAGGGTCAGGGGTTCTGGCATAACGAGAGGGGGGGGGCTTTTGATAATATAGTGGAAAAGTGTTAATTCTTCGAAGTCCATAGTTATGATGATGAGGGTAACTCTTCCAAATTTGTAAATTTCTTGACCCTTGGTCTTGGGTTCTGGTGTTAGGGTAAGGCTTTGTTGAATCTGTAGTGAAAATGCATTGTACCTGTGAAATTCTTCTCTGCTTCTGGGCATATCGGAAGAAAACTGAGTAAAATTTTAAATGATATAAGTAAGCGTATTTCTACCAGGTTTTTGAACATCTGGACCATTTGTCAAAGCATTCTAGTCCTGGGCAGGGCTCTATTAATTTGTATTCTACTGAGAGAAGTTATTCCCCTTTTCTGTTCACTTTTGATAATTAATCACTGTAAATAATGTATTTGAAAGGTAAATAGAATAAGATAATTATGCAAGAATGTTTATCATATAATTCAAAAAGTATTTTCTTAGTTTTAATAATCAGGTAGACCTGTAAGTAATAGATAAATAAAAATGAGACAAAAATAACTTATCTTATTAAAAGTTCTTCAAAGACCATAAGAGAGGTCAATGCTAGAGGTCTTAATATGGGTTTAAAAATAGTACAGAAGTAATAATAGTTTGTTAATAGTCTGCATGGTGATAGTGTTAAGTGGAGCACAGATTAGAACTTAATTTATGAGTTGATACTGAATACTAGACTAATTATTTTGTTGATCCTGATCTTCCTACTTCTCTTGCTTTAGGGCAAAAAAGCTTCATCTATCAGTGTATTTAACTTCTAAATTGTTGTATTATACTCAGGTGACCGTTAAGGCCCTTGGCCCTCTTGTATGTATAACTCTATGCAATTTTTTGCAAGTATTTTATTTTCTATAAAATTCTGCAAAATTTCTACATTTACTCTGCATTACTTCTACATTTACCTTAACATTATTCAAAATACATGTATATCTGTATGAACATAAATCTATTAGACTTATTGCTGATTTCTGAAAAAAGTTTGTGTTATTTATCCTTAAGTCAGATTGAAGTTTATTTGCAGTGCCAATCTGCACAAACTTTAGATGACAGTATTAATGTTGTGAAATACAGTTGAATTTCGGTATCTCGAAAACTGATATTTTGAATACTATGGATATGTTGAAGTCATTTGGAAGTCTCAAACACTTATCCTTAAAGTATTTTACCCTCAATATCTCAATTCCTCAGATATCTCTCGTTTTTTCTTGGTCCCATTGAGATAATGAGGTTTGACTGTATATACATGTAATTGCTGTTGTGGCTTTCTTTATTGACCAACATTCATTTTGTATTTCAGCAAAAAAGATATTTTAGTTAATCTTAAGTCTACAGATCATATAACAAGGTAAAGTGGTTTTCAAGTGATTAATGATTTAAATGTTTGATACATGTACACATACATGGTATATTGCATGCATGGTTTATATGAATTTGGTCCATATGGAGGGTAATGCCTCAGTTTGACATATAAATATTTAATATTTTTAGCCGGAAGATTTTATTTGGTAATTAATGCACCTAATTTTTTTTAGTTTAATGCTTCAGAGGTATTGTCATCTGATTTGTGCATTTGCACTTCCATTCAAACTGCATTAACAAAAGATGTACATGTAGGGTTTGAATTCTTCATTTCTGTTTACTTTTCCTAATTTTTTTTTTCAATTTTGTTAGAACCACGGAATTCTTAAAAATTGGACAACTGCAGAAATTACCCATTATATTGTGTATATTGAGGTCTGGACTCTGGAATATATCCTAGTTAGGGTATCAGACCCAGATGTGGCCCTTTACATATACTGTTAACAATTTGGTTCTAGTGAGAAATCACACCTCACAGCTTCAGATGTTCTTGGTGTTATTTTAAAAGTAATAAAAAAGTATTCATGGAATCACAGAATATTGTAATGTTTGTTCTGAGTAGCATATAAGATATACATAACATTTTCTCCTTTCCCGTTACAGTGTGAAAGGCAAAAAAATAACACTAAAAGTGATTTTTAATGTGATGCTACAATTTATCATGTACATGTACTGTATATACATGCTGTACTTATATGAATGTATTGTTTGATCTGGATTACTGCAATCCTGATATCACATATACAATACTTTTGTTTGATCTGGATTACTGCAATCCTGATATCACATATACAATACTTTTGTTTGATCTGGATTACTGCAATCCTGATATCACATACAATACTATTGTTTGATCTGGATTACTGATATCCTCATACAATATCCTATACTTTCTGTACATTATGCTCCAGGGATCCGGATTCCTAGGAGTCAAAGTGAAGGATTCCTGGCCAGAATAAAAAGGAACTGTCAATCACAACCAGAGGCCAATCCAAACGAAGCAAATCTGGGGGGAGGCTCCTCATTGGCAGAAAGTTGATGGAAGGATTTGGACCTAATAACACACTGTGATATTTATTTCTGTTGATCTCTTGAGTTTTATTCTTTGTTTTACTTATTATTTACTCCTAGGCAATTCACAGCCTTTACATGTACAGATATCTCTTTTCCAGAAATTGCTATATTTTATGTAAAAAAGTGAATTTTTTATATGATGTGAATTGTAAACTGCATAAATGATTCATGCCTCTGTGAATTTACCCAAAGCCTATGTATATTTTTTTTAAACCTAAACCATTCCACACCAATGCTGAATATCTCGTACAATGCTTTTTACTCATGCACTTGAAATGTTGATGTTGACAGATGTATTGTGCAATATTAAGTTTCTATGCTTATATAGATTGTATGTTAACTAATTAAAGAATTTTATTACCAAGATGAGTCATACTGATCAAATGAAACTGTCTGTTTGTCAGCCAATTTGATCACTGGTTTTATTCCATTTACATGTAATAGTATACTTGTACATGGAATAAAACCATGTAATAATATATTTATGTAAAAATGTTATTTATTGAAGCAAATTTACTCTAAATGTTTTATACAAGCAATGTATAAATAAATTGATATCTCGATGGATATCTAGCATAAACAAGTGTGTAGAACGGGAATGTCATGGTCCAGTATTAAACTAATGTTGTCCTAATGGGACAGATACATGTACCCCCACCAAAACATTAAAGCCACTTCTATGTACCTAATGTATCTACAGTATGAATAAGAAATGTTCAAATTAGTACCGGTAGATGGAATTGCGTCTGCCTTTAGTGTAACATTTCATGCATGTAATATTGATCAAGTCTGAAGTTAAATACAAAGTGTACTTACTAGGCTTTCGTATAAGATACTATACACTTATCCACTGGCTGTGAGTGGGATAGCTCTTTTATCAAACCCGCGACAGGAACTATTCCCCGAGGGCTTGCCCGAGGGGAATAGTTCCTGTCAAGGGTTTGATGAAAGAGCTATCCCACTCACAGCCAGTGGATAAGCGTTTTATTATACTGATGTATATCATAATTTCTAAGGGTTGGATTTACCTGATGCTACAGTTCGATAGTAAAAACATGAAAAAAAAAATAATTATAAAAGTTTTGAACAAGTATTTGGAATAAGATAACACTGCTAGAATGAGCTGAAATCCTGATGACGTCACAATGCTACTGAAGTCAGGATGACATCATAAGTCTATAGATTGATTACAGGAAATCAAACTTGGCGGCAAAAATTGCATGAAAATTTTCCGAGGGGTGGATAGCAAAAACTATACCCCGGGGTATAGCTTTGCTATGTGTGGAAATTTTGAGACTATGAAGATAGTTAGTTTACCTTCTTAACTTTATATAGGAAAAATTTTAACAGAAGTATAATAAACTGTTTTGTCACAGACTATGACTTTATATACTTTTGTGATTAAAACAATATATAAGGTCAAGTGACTGTGTGCTTTCTATACACAAGTCTCTATAATAATGGATTATACCATATATAACATAGTATTAAAAAGTTAAAATGAATTCACTTTAAGTGTTTTTATTAATTTATATATATACATGTGTATATTGTTTTTCCTTAGTATGTTTGATAAATAAGCGACAACTGTTTTTCCAGTTTTCACATTCTTTATTCAAATTCTTGTCATCAAAAGGTTGAAATTAATCTCATGTTCATGCACATGTAATAAAGTTATATAAATCGAAAGAACCAAAGAAGCTTACTTAAAGGTCTTATAACACTTGAAGTCTCTTGAGATCCTATTTCTACTGCATAGTGATAAAAGGAAAGTTGCATAAAAATTTTTAATCTGATACATGTATAACAAAAGTATGATCCTTGTAATAGTCTGTGTGTAATGTGTCAGTATGACTTCATATAACTCCTAATTTGGGGTAAAAGATTTTCTCTTCATAATCAAAATCTTTGAAACTACATTAGAATGAAGTTACTGACTATTGAAGTTATCAAAAATGTATGTAAAGAAAAACAAGATGTGTTTGTGAAACACAGATGCCCCCATATGGCAACTTATAGCAAAGGTTTAAACTTTCTCAAATGCAAATCAAATATGTTGGTACCGAAGTAAGGTCTTGTCTCAAGGAATATAACTGTGAAATATGAAAGCCCTAGCAGCAACCATTGAATAGATATGGAAAAGGTTAAAGTTTTTCAAAAGTAAGTCAAACATCAACGTCAAATGGTCAAAATTAATGGTGCCCAAGGAAAGGCCTTCTCACAAGAAATACACGTGAAATACGAAAGCTGTTGCCCCAATCGTTCAAAAGATATTACCAAGGTTAAAGTTTTCAAAAGTAGGTCAAATTCCTAGGTCAAGGTCAAAGGGTCAAAGTTGTTGGTATCCAAAGGAAGGTCTTTTCACAAGGATTACACATGTGAAATATGAAAGCCCTAACACCAATTGTTCAAAAGTTATGTCCAAGGTTAAAGTTTTCCAAAAGTAGGTCAAACTCCAATGTCAAAGGGTCAAAGTTGTTGGTACCCAAAGAACAATCTTGTCACAAGGATTACATATGTGAAGTATGAAAGCCCTAGCACCAACCATTCAAAAGTAATGGCCAAAGTTAATGTTTTTCAAAAATAGGTCAAACTCCTAGGTCAAGGTCAAAATTGTTTGTATCCAAAGGAAGGTCTTGTCACAAGGATTACACATGTGAAGTATGATAGCCCTAGCACCAATTGTTCAAAAGTTATGGTCAAGGTTATAGTTTGGTAAAATTTTGCAAAAACTGGGTCAAACACCAAGGTCAAAAGGTCAAATATGGTGGTACCCAAAGAAAGGTCTTGTCACAGGGAATGTGCATGCGAAATATGAAAGCCATACCTCCAACCAATCAAAAGTTATGGGCAAGGTTAAAGTTTTTGCGGACAGACAGACAAACAGACAGACAGGGCAAAAACTATATACCCCTGAATCTTCAATACGGGGGCATAATAAATCCATTATCTATTGAAAGTGTGTTTGTGAAACACTGATGCCCCCATATGACAGCCCATAGCCAAGATTAAAGTTTCTTAATTGCAGGTCAAACTCCAAGGTCAAATAGTCAAAAACGTTGGTACCCAAATAAAGGTCTTGCCACAATGAATACACAATTGAAATGTAAAAGTCATAGCTCCAACCATTCAAAAGTTATGGCCAAGGTTATAAAGTTTTTCAAAAGTAGATCATACTTCAAGGTAAAAAACATTAGTATACATGTACCCAAGGGAAAGTCTTGTCACAAAAAATAAACATTTGAAATATGGAAGCCAGGGCTAGCATCAACTGTTAAAAAGTTTTAGCCAAGGTTGAAATTTTTTTCAAACATAGGTCAAACTTTAAGGTCAAGATAAAAAATGATACCCAAGAGAAGGTCTTGTCACATTAGAAATACACGTGAAATATGAAAGCCCTAGCACCAACTATTCAAAATTTATGGCCAAGGTAAAAATTTGATAAAATTTTACAAAAGTGGGTCAAGATCATGAGGTCAAATATGTTGTATCCAAAGAAAGGTCTAATCACAAGGCATACACATGAAATATGAAAGCTCTAACCAATCAAAAATTAATGGAAAGGGTAAAGTTTTTGTGGACAAATATATAGCTAGAGAGACAGATTGAAAACTATGTTCCCCCCAATTTTTAATTATGGGGGCATTGAAAAAGAGAGACAAAATCTTGGTTTGATAGTCCTAGGCTTCACAGTGTGATTTTAAGGACCCTCTATACAATGCACATAATAGAGTATTTTATATAATAGGAGTGATCTGCCCTTAGACTTATAAAATACATGTAAATTGAAATCAATTGAAATCTACAACATATAACCCAATTTGTAATTAATCATTCTTTATGATTTATTAGGCCAAGATAAATTAATTTCAATATTTAAGTAAACAGCAGTGAAGATATCGTTCATTTACATGTCTTTGAACAGTTTTCCTAGTTGTTAATGGCTGGTACCAAACATTCATGAACTCAAGATTTACACCTTCATACAATATATTCTTTTTAATGTTAAAAAAAAAACATTTTCCCTAAAAGTATAAAAGTATAGTGGAGCTTTAAGAAATGATCCAGACATTTGATGGTGATAATATATAGAATTCCAAATTGAGGTCACGGTGACATAATTTTAATCAGCAGTACAAAGATTTCCCTGTCCATGAAGAACAGTTTTCACCTAAACCCAAGAAAACATACATGAAGAACTACGACATACCAATACAGATTTATTCGAGACTCTTACAATGCTTATGAATTAGGAATATTTACTACTTGTTTTTGATCTGTAGATATGTATAATCATAGCTAAACCCTCTGTGAACAAAGGGTTCAGTGACTAGAACAATATTACAATTTCATTGATAATTGGGATTTTTAGTAGGCCATGTCATT